TTTAAGAAGGGATTAGCCTATCCACTAGTTAGTAAGTTTTTATACCCTCTCAATCCTCATCTCCTCCTATTATATGCTCTGCTGATTTCCTTGCTTGTCAGCTTCCAGACAGATCAGCAGGTGCAAATTATGGAAACACAATAGCAGTGGTTGACTAATTCAAAGTGCTCAAGGAAGCACAGCATAAAATGTTATAAGGCAAAAAACGGTGAAGAAACGCTTTAATGTATCATGATGAGAGAAGTGCGGATACCTATGTCATATGATACCAAAAATCACCCCTTTTCTCCTTAAAATACAACCCTTTCACTGGGAACAAAGAGGTCGATACTGCTGCAAGAGTAGTCAGTATTATCGTTGGAAAGTCTGTAGTGTAGAAATAAATTTCTCTTGAATGTTCCACATTGCCAATCCGACTGAGTTTCATTAACATTATTAGTAACAGTAGGTTCAGTCACGAGACTTTAGAGGGTTCGTGGATTCGGTCCACGATCATGGGAATAAGATTTTTACGCGTTCCCAAGAATGTTGCGCTAAAATAAAGCTTAGAAAAGAGAACACTTTGACCTTAATTAAGCTTAAATGATAATCAAATGGATCTAAAAGTGTGGTCAACACTGATACGTGATTCTGCATTGTACTCCTGAAGGTGTAGGTGTCTGCGTATTCTGCGTCTGTCCCTTTTATGCCTTGTCAAATAAATTTCCCATGCTTTATTTCAGTGAAAACCCTACCCCACCAGCCACAGTAGGTGGTAACTAAATGACTATTCAGAAGAGGAGCGCTATGGTTCAAGAGTTCTTAAGGAACTGCAGGAATCCACCCGAGGAAGCCAGACCCTCTTGACCGACACAATGCAGAAACTTCTGCCGTAAATATAGAAGAGGTGGACGCGTTTCAGACGCATAAGACTTAGGTGCACCTCAACCGCATGCCAAGCAAAAAACCGGTTATCAAACGCGTGTATCACGAAGGTCACTCAAAGAGTAGCTCACTTTGCTAACGTTTGCTAGGTGATCTGGTTGACTGAAAGGCGCTCCTAATCCTGTAATAAAGGATCAGGAGAGCCTCAAGATTTGCAGCAAATTTTGTTGCGCTGAAGCCCAAGGGAAAGTAGCAATCAAGTCCTTCTGGTTTACTTAGAGCTCGAAAGAATAACTAAGCAGTTTGAAGTAAAGCTGGTAAGGAAAGGGTAGGCTCATCTAATTTGGAGGTCAAAGGCAGAGAACCTGAATATGGGGTTTTGAATTTGGTTGCCTTTTGCGGTTGTTGCGTCGCGGGATATTAAGTGACTCCTGACGCTTCTCCGTTGTGAGCTTTGCCTGTGCCCCGAGAAAGTTGGTATTCATGCTGCAGAGCTTTTCGACTCCAATAAGTGGACAAACTTCCCTTTCGAATGGGATGCTTGTCCATCCAGCGAATATGGTTGGAAGTGAGCTACGAGTGGTTTGTTTCGCCAGTAGTAAGATGTTCTTTGCATGCTCCCGGTCGTCTTTGCCCAATTTTCGCTGTTGATGGAAAAATTTCTGGTTGCTGCCTGTTCTTTCTGACCATGACATGTCGAACTAAAGTAGTAAAACATTCTACCAACTCGGTGTTTGGGGCTAAACCTACTCCTACGCTGTTCGAGAATAGGTTTTAAAGGAGGTCACTTTGAGTCTGAGGTGGTTTTTTGCTTTGAGAGCAGGAGTAAAGGTCACATCTGGTGTTTCAAAGCCTATGCAGGTCTTAAAAGTTAAGGTAAGCGGACGCTGTCACAAGTATAACAGCTCCAGTGTTAACCTTTTCGCCTGCACCTTTACTAACTTGGAACGAGTAGGCTTACTGGGTAGGAGCAGTCTGTCTCGGCAGTATTATGGACGGTTTGCCGTGGTTAGGGTTATGCCTGTTCGTCGCACACTTCTACCTTGGAGGTGAATGACACCAGTTCCATTACATCTCTAAGTCAGCACTAGCTGTGACTGCCTCGATAGCAGTGGTAGTTATTAGGGAGATAGCGGTAATAAAATGAGAAGATGTCGACTTCCATGTACAAAGGCATCCTGAGATAAACAGCCCTCATGCTCTATAAATGCAAATATCTTCAAGCATAAGATTGAAACCGGCGAAGCTAAGCCCATCCGGCCACCACATAGACGCATTCCACCACCTACGCTAGAAGAAGAAAACCGTCTGGTTGAAGCCATGAAGTCGCAAGACGCTATAACCGTTACTTAAGTTTTCTTCCATCAGTGGGTTTTCCAGCACTCATAACGATCTAGGCCCAAATATGAGAGCCGACTCTT